TTCTCGTATCTATGATAAAAAAAAAAAAACCTCCTCCTTAACCACACCATGGAGTGGCCATGTCATCAGTTTATACAATTTCCCGCGATTCCGTTGTGTGCATTTTCCTTGTGTTATTATCTGGACTGCGTTCTTGCAGTGTCCCAGCTCTGTGACTCGGGGAGTGTGAACAGGGTGGCTCTCACAGATTAAATCTCCCTTCTGAGCCAAGAAACTTAAAAGTGTTTGCCAAGGGGACCAGAGGGAAAGTACAAGCTTAATCATATGACTAAAAATCATGGTGCCACCCATCTGTAATACAGAATTAATTAATTTGACATCTGTGATAAACAGTGCGCGTGTGTAGAGCCCATGTGCATTCCATAGCTCATCCACACAGTCACTTAATGTAAAATATTTTCCATGGGATCGATGGGTTCTCAAACATCGCCATGATGTGCTGTGATAAACCAAATGAACTCTAACCTCGGGGATCCATCAAATCACCAGATGAGGAGCCCAAATTTGCACAGTGTCCCAACACAGCCTGGCGACAACCAGTGCTGCCACACTTGGGTTGGTGACAATAGAAATCCTAGAGCTTCAATGTGTGTGCTTGAAAGCCAGAAGCCTTGAAAGCTGGGTTCCATGGGTCCTTGTGTTTGGCGGCACCTGGGAGAGCACCAGGAGTAGCGCCAGCCCTCCTGTGCCTGCAGGCAGCTGGCTACAGGAACTGGGTCCTGGGGCTCACCTGAAGGAAGTTGTTGGAAGTAGATGCTCTCTCTGGAGCAGAAAGGAACCTTCAGGGACCAGGAAGACATAGCTATTGTGAGGATAGCACTTAGCCAATGGGACCAGCATCAGTCTGAGCAGATTTCAGACACTTACTGGAAACAGTGGGGTTTCTATTCCCAACTGTGCACCACAATGAGAAGCAAACAAAACTAACTGTTGGCACCTGAACTGACTTGCAAACGGTTTCTAAACTCTCATTTTTAGATTTGAATTCCCTAAGTAAAGGATTGGTTTGGTTAAGAGATATTAAACTGGTTGGGTGGGGTTTTATTTTGAAGTTTTAAATTGGAATTAAAATTAAATTGAAGATTAATTTTAAAGAAGACTCATCTCTGTGTGTATGAGTGTGTGTATGTGGTGGCTCTATGTCTTAACAAACATCCAGTGATGCAAATGACCACAACCAGATCAGGACTCTTGCAATAAGACCCAGACAAGCAGGCTGTGGCTACTTATCTGTGCATTACTAGCATTCAGGAGGCAGGAGGATTGCTATGATATTGAAAACATCTCAGGTTACACAGTGAGTTTGGGTCCAAACAATGAGACTCTACTTTCAAAGCAGGAATAAAGACAAAGAAACAAAAAAACGAAGATATTACAGAAAGTTTCCACGTACGTCCTGCCCCCACTTGGTTAGTGATAACTCTCTCCAACCCGCCTCTGCCGCCCCTGAGTGGTTATCAGTCTTTCTAGACTTTCCCACATGTGGGACTGTACTGTGTACGTGGCTGAGCTCACTTAGCACGTGATTCATTTCAGTCCTGCCCCCTTTCCCGTGTCGTCACCTCCTTTTTATCTCTGAGTTATCTTCCTTTGATTGCCACCGTTTGTTCTTCCGTGCCCATGCGCCTGTTCAAGGATGTCGGATGTTTCTAGTTTGGTGTGATAATGAACACAGCAGCTATAAACATTTGAGTGCGGATGTTTTGTGAGAACATAAATTTTCATTTCTCTTGGGTAAACACTCAGAAGAAGCTGTCATAGCCTATGGTAAATGTATGTTTAATATTTTGAAAAAAAAAGCGGCTTATTGTTGCATTGATGAGGACTAAGGCTATATCACCTTCTGTGTAAACACAAAGAACTATTTCTCTAAGGGAGTTCCTCTTTGTGGAGATAACACATGAAACACCAGCTCAGAACTGAAGGATTAATTCGGTCCAGACTCTGAATTGCCTCTGAGATTGGGTACACAGAAGTGCGTGTACAGAGCAATTGGTAAGGCTGGTGGGGGTCCGTCAGCTCTGCTGCTCTGGGCTCCTCCCCGCTGCTGCTGCACGTGAAATCTCCTATGAATTGGGAGCATGGAGGAAAATCTATTTAAGGAAAGTGTGCCCTATATTTTAAGGAATAAGTATAGTGTAGGAAGGGTAGTATCCAGATAAATTATTTACATTAATCAAATTCATTGAGAAATGACTCAATTCTCCATTTCCTTTGGCCCAATTACATATATAGAGACTTCTGTAGCCTAGCCCATTACTCCTCCTAGGGAACAGCTACTGTATTAATATAATCATTATTAAATCCCTACTAATAAAACAAGAAGCACGTGATTAACCAAGTTCTTCTGTGAGAGACCCTACACTAAGCAGCCACATCTGTTGAATACATGTCCTTGACTTTGTTCTGGGTCCATTTACTTGATTCAAGTTCCTCTCACTAGCCGAAGTCACAATTAGCACACAGGAATTCTCTAATACGGACCTGAAATTGAAATGCTCTTGATGACAACAAAAAGGCTGTTTGCAGTTCCGGGATGTTTTCAGGGTTGACTTCTCAGAGAGAGGGACAAATGGGGAGCGGGGCGCACAACAGACGATGACCACAAACTAAAAGTAAGGTCTTCTAAAGTAATTTCAACCTTTATCCAATAATCCATTTATAATTACCCACATTATGAGCACAGATAGCTAATCTTTCAGCCCAAAGTTGTGGGGCAGTAATTGTTTTATGACTGGATAAGACCATGCAAACTCTTGTCTCACCTAGGCTCAGAGAGAGCATTTTTAAATAGTATTTAAAGCTGAACATCTGGATGGGGTTCAGTCATTATGAGTACTTGCTACAAATTGTGCTTCGTCTGCCTCCTGCCATCACAAGATGTTTCGGGGTGCTTGTGGGTGGGTTTCTCTTCCCTAGCCCTGGCTCCTGGCTGTGTGAGTCTGTGGCAGTGCCATGGCTGTGGTGGCCCCCTGCTCACGCTATGGTACAAATGCCAGAAGCCTTGGTGTCTTCTCTGCTAGCCAGAGCCAGCCCTCACCCCAGAATGACGCCTGCCCTCACACCAGAACGAGGCCAGCCCTCACACCAGAATGAGGCCCGCCCTCACACCAAAACGAGGCCAGCCCTCACCCCAGAACGAGGCCAGCCCTCTTGGCTCCACCACGAACTCTCTTTCACCTCCATGTTCCTTCCTGCTGCAGCCACCCTGTGCACCTCAAATGCTCTCCTCACATTCTGGAATACTCTATTCCTGCGGTCAGAAACCAAGGCTTGGAGTCCTCGCTTGATCCCTGGTCCAGAGGAGATAGGCTGGGCTCTCCACAAAAGCCTCCCGATGTAGGAAAGGATGCGAGAGAAGAAGCAAGCTTGGCGTGGAAGCAGAGATGACTGACAGCCGGCCCATTCCAGGCTCACTTTCTGAGCCAACTGGGTTATTTTGTTTCAGGAGTCTTTGAAAAGGGTAAAAGAGCTTACTTTGAGGTCATTCTGCTACCATTTCTCTCTTGAACTCAAATTATCTATCAATGTCCCCTAGTTTGCATTTGCGGTTTATGAAAGAAGAAGCCCCACCCACCTCCTTGTCCTCCGTGGGTCCTGGGAACTCCACACCCACAGAAACAGGAGGGAGGGCAGCTGAATGCGCACACACCAGTAAGCAGCAGCCCACAGAGTAACGCCTTATCTCTTGGGGGCCCTGTGGATGCAGTCAGATAGTGCCCTTTCTCCTGACCTTTGCAGCATCACGTTCTCCCCTGCAGGACTGGCACACAGCGGAGACGAACAAGCGCCAGGCTCTCTGCCAGCAGATATTCCCCCCTTCATCACGGAAGGCTTTGGAAGTCGCTCGTGCACATGGCAGGCAACTTTGTCAGCTTTTGTTTGTTGTGCAGCCCGTGCCAGCTGGTGCGCTGCTACTGCGGCGCCTCCTGTCCTTCTGGGCTCTGGAATCTCTGCTCTGGTGTTTACACAAACAAAACATATCACCCCCAAGGAGCGCCCTCCCTGGTCTCGGGGGTTCCTCTTTTTAGGCTACACACAGAAATCTTTGGGGTACAACTGGAGGATATAGCTTGCCATGGTGTTTGGACACTAAGCCTGCGCTCCTGAGGAGGATACGCTGGAGCGAAAATTCTCCAAGATTGGGAAGCCCTAACTCATGTAGGGAGAGCCCTGTTTCTCTGTCCCCGACTCCCTGACTTGGGTCTATATTTATTCCTGGTTCATAAAGACATCCGAAGGCGAACAGAAAATCACAGGCTGCTTCTCTTAAATATCATACATGGTGGCAGTGATGGACAGGACCCAGTGCCAGGAGAGCAAGGACACTGTTCCCCCAGCCTCAAAGTTAATGTCCCATCACAAAGCTGTATCTGGGAGCGGGTACGACTCAGATGCCAAGGAAGACCCCAGTGCTCTTGGGATGGTCTTGATATCTAGAACCACTCGGGGCGCTGGTTCTCCTTGCGGTCACAAGCCAGTGGCCCTAGTGTTGGAAAGGGTCCTGGTGGCATGGCTCAGAATGCACTACGGTTGCCCCCATGTGTTCTCTGTGATTAGGCCAAGAACGAGTGATTCCCAGCTCTGGCAAATATCATATTCAGACACCCATTGGCTCACATCTGATAATTCAAGCTTGATCACAATGAGCTACTTCCAAAGCGAGATAATGGAGCGGAACTCTCAGCTGGGGAACCTTCCCCTCCATATGGTTCACAAGTTCCCTAGGATGTGCGATCCTACCGGGAGCACCATCTGTGTAGACTTCGCGCAGGCTCCTTGATGCTCACTCCGTCTTAGACTGCGTTTCCAGGCAAATATGCTCGGATTGAAGGCCTGAATCTCCTGCCACTAGCTCTTGCAACGTGTAGCTTTGACCTTTGAAGGGCGTATTTTCAGGGAAGATTCCCCAGATGGGCATCAAGGATCACTGCAGAGTTTCCTTTCTGCACCTGAGTAAGGTTTATAGATAATCAGACACACTTTGAAGGTAAGGTCACCTTATCTCCCATGGTGGAGTGAAGACCTTGGGAACCAAGGTAGATGTCATCACGGGCCTCTGGAGTGTCCAGTACTGGAGATCAGCTAAGATTTTCACTGCAAGCAGACAACTGGCAAACCAAAGGAAATCACAGAAATGGATTGAGTAGATGAAAACTTTAGGAACGTAGGAAAAGAAATATTGAGATGATTTTACAAGTAAGATTTCCCAAGTAAGCTGGCTGTTCACACTGAAACCTGGACTCCAGGATTCAGTGCTAATAGCACCAGGGGCTGTTGCAAGCCAGGAAGCAGCTGCCTTTTGCCTGGAGTGCTTTATGCACACAACACCATCTTGTGAACCTTCTCTTGTTACTATGTTAGTCCTTGTTGGCTAGAGTGTGTGGTCCCCGGAGGACAGACAAGTTGTATATCCTTGTATATACAGGTACAAGGGAGCCTGGCACAGTTAACATTTAGAATGTTCTACTTCTAAAGAGGAGAATTTTTTTTTAAGATCAAAATTTATGAAGTGAGATTTGGATGCCAGATTGAGACCTTTGCCAGTACACACATTATCCTTATGTATTGTTACTTACCTGTGCAAAATGAGGAGGGGTACTTGTGGAGGACAATTAGACTGTGCCCGTGCAGGTGAAGACAGGGCTGCTGTATACAGTTGGACTGTGCCCGTGCGGGTGAAGACAGGGCTGCTGTCTACCAAGAAAAGACAAAAGAGTATCAGTATATAGATGATACAGATACACATGTGAATGGTATACACAGAGGTATAGTTACAGATCCAGGTTATATATAATACATCCATATATGTTCTGTGTGCATGCACAATACATATACATGGAGAGAGAGGTTCTAAATCATAGGGACTGCAATATGTTCTGGAGTCCAGGGCTGTCTCTCATGGATAAGGGGAGATGGTTGCGTGTTTCTCTTTTATCTCTATGAAGTAGAAACCCTGAGACATGGACACAGACAGTCCTTCCCAAGAGGAGGGACGCAGGAAGGTCCAGGTTCCCTGGGATGCAGAGTCCTTTCGTGTTTCAGGGTAGCATCATTCATGCACATGACCTGCATAAACAATAACTCTAAGATGAGGCGTCGGGTAAGTTTAAACATGGACGGTGCTTTTGTAAGGCACTCTCTGAGATTAGACTCATAGCAGCGTTAAGCGAAGTATGCTGTCCCAGCTTGGGAGGCCAAAGCAAAGAGGGAATGCAACCTCAGCCTGTCCCAGTGGCTGTGGACTGGAAGATCTTCGAGTGCACCTCATGGCTTTGCCCCAATGTCAACAGGAATGAGACAAATTACTCACAACATTGTTCCCCATGTAAGTCTGGATTTAAGAACTCCCTTAAGTTTTTCTCTGTATATAATTTCTACAACTAAATTGACAATAGAAGATATTGACATGTCTATGTCCTGCTCTAGGAGGGAAATGTTTCCGAATCAACAAATAAAGAAACAAAAAACTGAAACAACAAAAAACTTCTTCCCATTCCTGTCCCAAGCCTATTGTCACTGTAGAGCCAGCTTGTCTCCTCCATACCAGAGAAAGCAGGCGAGACAGAGTGTGCTCTGGTTTGCTGTCCACCCCTTTCGCATTTGGTGTTGAGACAAAGAAGTCCCCTAACACTAGTTTCCTTGCAGAGCCCTTTATGTTAAAATGGGAAGGGAACACTTTACAGTTTGCAGCAAGGCTTGGGTGAAATGCTGAGCATGGTTTTAGACCTATCCCAAGCCCCAGCAGCCAGAGGAGCTCAGAGATAGGGAACTATTAATTCTGTCTATTTTTGTTCAAATGCACTCTGTGTATAACTTCCATTTCGTATGACTTAATACATAGGACATCTTGCTATAGCTTTGCTCAGAAACACTGTTAGTTTTACACTGAGTAAGATTTGAAGTCTCATCCTAGGGCTGGCTAGATGGCCTCTCAGGGACAGGTGCCTGCCTCCAAGCCTGATGAACTGACTTCAATCCCCAGAACCCACGTGAAGGAAGGATAGAAGGTACTCTCACAAGTTGTATTCTGATCTCAGGCTATAGCATGTACACACACACACACACACACACACACAGAGAGAGAGAGAGAGAGAGAGAGAGAGAGAGAGAGAGAGAGAGTAAAATGGAATTAAAAGCTAAAATAAGTAAACACAAATAAAATTCTCCATCTCGAACTTAGGACCTGGCTCCTCTGACTTCCCTGCACTCTGCAGCTCAGCTGAAATGAGTTCTCTTCAGAACCTGGTTTAACCCTTTCCATCTCCCCCTCTGATCTTACTCTCTGGCTACTCAGAATATTCAGCTTCTTATTCCCCAGGCTCTAGCTTAAACAAAATTCTATATCATGTTTATGTGAATACACCCCTTGCATCTCTGTTTCCCTGGGAGAGAACAGTCACCTGCTTCAGTGTCCTGGGAAGACAGGTGAGGCTGCCAGGATGCTTGAAGCCCCATAGGGATTGACTTCTCCTTTCCAATATGATCAGAGCAGGTGTTACAGGGACATATGATCAACACTAAATGAACTCAGTAGTGTGTGTGTGTGTGTGTGTGTGTGTGTGTGTGTGTGTGTGAGAGAGAGAGAGAGAGAGAGAGAGAGAGAGAGAGAGAGAGAGAGAGAGAGAGAGAGAATAAGGTAGGAAGTATGGTGAACATGGGAGGAATTAGACCATGAGAGGGAGGTATGAAAATAGTGTAAACACATGTGTTGGAATTTATCAAAAAATTAAATTAAAAAATATTTCAAGGGTCACCTCCTAGATCAGCTCGCATTATTGATTTGCCTGGTACTTGTCAAGGGGCTATTAGCACGAAGCTCTTGGGACCTCCCCACAATGTGCTAGCTAGTTGTTTGTCAACTTGACATGAGTAACAGTTATCTGAGGAGAGCGACCTCAGCTGGGAAATGCCTCCGTCAGACTGGTCTACAAGCAAGTCTGTGGGACATTTCCTTGATTAGTGACAACCGTAAGAGCATCCAGCCCATGGTGAGTGGTGCCATTCCCAGGTGATAGTCCTGGGGTGCATAGGAATACAAACCCAACAAGCTGTGAGGGACAAGCTTGTATGCAGCACTCTTGCATGGCCTCTGCTTCAGTTCCTGCCTCAAGTTCCTGCCCTGATTTCCCTCAGTGATGGTGTAGAAGCCGAGTGTAAGCTGAAATAACCCTTTCCTCCCCAGGCTGTTTTGCCATGGTATTTTTCACAGCCATAGAAACGCTAACTAAGACAGGCATTTGATGTGAAGAGAAATGTTAACTCTGTCTCTTAATTACGGGTATATTAAAGTCATCTGGGAAGTGTTCAACATGAACAGGTGTGGTATTTGTGAGACTTCTGGAGTCTGTTTCTGGGGCTGAGACACTGGCGTGAGCAGCCTCAGACTCCCTGATTGCTGAGGCTACCTCTGACCTGGACTGCATGTTCTCATAGTTTATTCCTGCTTATTTAACAGACACTCCCATCCTACCAGACCTGTGGTCCTTCCCAGTTAGGTTTATATTCCTGGAAGAAGACAACTCTCAACAGATGAGTCTCAAAGGGCTGAAAGACACTTAAGGAAATGCTCGACATCCTTAGCCGTTAGAGAAATGCAAATCAAAACAGCCCTGAAATTCCATCTTACACCTGTTAGAATGGCCAAGATCAAAAACACTGATGACAGCTTATGCTGGAGAAGATGTGGGGTAAGGTGAACAGTCCCCTATTGCTGGTGGGAGTGCAAACTTGTACAGCTGCTTTGGAAATCAGTATGGTGATTTCTCAGAAGATTAGGAACAACCTACCTCAGCATCCCACAGTACTGCTCTTGGGTACATACCCAAAAGACATTCAATCATACTACAAGGACATGTGTTCGACTATGTCATAGCAGCATTGTTTGTCATAGCCAGAACCTGGAAAGAGCTTAAATGCCCCTCAACCAAAGAACGGATAAAGAAAATGTGGCACCTTTACACAATGGAGTACTACACAGCCATAAAACAATAATGACATTCTGAAATTTTCAGGAAAATGGATGGATCTAGAAAAAAACCATATTGAGTGAGATAACCAAGACCCAGAAAGACAAATGTAATATGTATTCCTCATAAGTGACTTTAAAACATAAAACAAAGAAAAAACAGCCTACAGGCTACAACCCATTGAACCTAGACAACAAAGAGGACCCTAAGAGAGACATACATGGATCTACATAGAAAGGTGAAAAAGACAAGCTCTGCTGAATAAACTGGGAGTGTGAGGTCATGGGAGAGGGCAGAAGGGGAGAGGGGGAAGGGGCAGGAGTGAAGAAAAATGTATAGTTCAATACAAACAATAAAAAAGTACCATGACCCAAAGCTATTTAGCAGGAAAGGGTTTATTTCACCTTAAAATCCTCAAGCTACACTCCATCACGGAAAGAGCAGGGCTTGAACTGGACCAGGAACATGGAGGCAGGAAACAAAGAAGAGGCCAGGGAGAAAGTCCGTTTACTGGCTTGTTCCCTGTGTCTTGTTCTTTGTATAGTCTTTGCATAGTCCAGGGCCACCTGCCCAGGGGAGAACAACTCTCACAATAGCCTTGGCCTTCCCATATCAATTATTAATTTTAAAAAATGTTCCACAGATTTGCCCCCAGGCCTGTCCGGTGGAAGTACTTTCTCTGTTGAGCTTCGTACTTCCCAGATGACCCTAGCTTGTGTCAAGTTGACAAAAAAATTGGGTTCAGGTCAAGAACAATGGCAATGGGTTTTTGATCCTACTGCACGAACTGGCTTTGTGGGGCAGTTTGGATGCTCACCTTACTAGGCCTGGATGGAGGTGGGTGGTCCTTGGACTTCCCACAGGGCAGGGAAACTTGATTGCTCTTTGGGCTAACGAGGGAGGGGGACTTGACTGGGGGAGGGGGAGGGAATGGGAGGCAGTGGCGGGGAAGAATCAGAAATCTTTAATAAATAAATAAAAATTAAAAAAAACTGGGTTCAGGGCTCTGGGCTGGGCTAGCTGAGCACTGGACTCTTCTCAGGGGTGGTGAGAATACAGAACTAATCAAGCTCTTTATTTTATTACATTTCCCCTGGTCTTTGACTATTGATAATTTTTACTCCAATCAAACTTTACAAATCTTTAGGATCACCACCATTTCTCAGCATAACAGAACAGCTTGCATGAAGGCCTCTACATTTAGATTCATGAAGACCGCTGAACAAAACTGATGAGTTTGGATTTGGCATGTTGGCAACCTTGTGAGTCCCCCGCCCCTTCCTCTTCTTCCCTCTTCCCACAATGCCCCATGTGTGTCTTCCTCCTTGTCTCATAAATTATTCAAAGGGAGAAAGCCAAGTGTTCCTACAGAATGCATGCATTGCCACGGATGTGCTCTTTTGCCTTTGCCAAAGCTGCTTGAGGGCAAGGAGGAGGTGTGCACTCGGGAAGCTGGGAGGCTCTTGTCCTTCCCGATTCTTCCTCTTCCACTTCACCGCAGCCCAGAGAACAAGCTCAGAGGCACTTTGGGACTTTTTGTGCCACCTGGTGGAATTTCATCGGGAGCGATTATCTGGGGTCTGAGTTACCAGGCGGAGGGGGGGGGGGGGGGTACACACCCGAGCCATTTTCTTGCTGTTCAGTATTTCCAGCCTAAGTGCAGGACTCCCTACTGTGCCCAGCAATTTCACTGCACTAGGCCCATAATAAAGTTTTTTTTTTTTTAAT